TCTCTCTCTCTCTCTCTCTTTTCCTTTCTTTGACTGCGGGACTGTAAAAAAGCTGTTAGCTCTCATGCGGCATCAGAGTCGATGCACAAGCAGTTTGCAGTCGTGGCCTGTCGGTCAGCAGCTCTTTAGGTCAATGATCATTTCAAGTTCACGCGCGATGATCCCCAGCGGGACGCCTGTGGCCCAAGACACTTGAGAGAGCATCGTGCTGAGTGACTAAGCCTAGACCAACAGCTTCAATATTGTTTGCAGGTCTCCGCGTCACCGAGCTCCTGGAAAGTATGGGAGCCAAAGGCACCCCACCAGTGGCTTGGAGCTTACTCCGAAAGGAATTCTGGAGATTAGAAGTGTGATCTGCAGAAGCCTAGCTTTCATGGAAGCGCATCGGTGACAGGATCAGATACTGATGAGGCTGAGTGCTCAGCAAACATCTGCTTACTAGCAGCGTTTTGGGGCCGCGCGATGCTCTTTCAATTCCCGACGCACTGACAACTCATCCAGACTCCAGAAACATGTCAAGAAGGAGCACTGCAGACCCATTGTTTCAAGGGCCGAGTAATGCTGTGCCAAGAGCAGCTTCAAAGGTAGCAGCCTTAACTGAGCTTCAAATTAGTTCGGACCTTGACTGCTACGCAAGTGGCATGCCACAGGCATCGCTGCACTGTAGACCAGTTCAAGATTAGGTGATGGCCAAAAGTGTGGGCAGGGCTGGGATCCGAGTGACGGCGTCTATTATACAGATAATGTGTCAGAGTACACCAAACCAACAAAAGGATAATTACTAGTCCTGTATATTCCTGTAGCGTCCTCAGATGCAGATGATTCAAAAGCGGTCAATTCTAGAGGTTAGCCATCCCATCTCGCCTCAGTGCTGAATGAGTAGTTGGAGCGCGGCATAAGGCATGCGATAACGAAGCGTGGAAAAGCGCTAGCTTGCTTCGCTGTGCGCCATCGCTGTTGCTATGGGAGAGGAGTGAGGAGAGCCCTCATCGTCAACCATTTTGGGAGGTTGTGCTGATGGCCAGCCAACCTTCTTGAGACTTTGGCGCCCGCTGCCTGGCCCTTGCCCGACTGAGGCGACGCAAGAATGCGGTGGCGCCGCTACTGTGATGCGCCCCGCAATCCCCAAGCCGAGCACCAAGCGGCGTCTCGCCCAGGGCCCAGAAGTTCAGGCTGGTTCCGCTGGGGGCTAACGAGCGTGGTGTATCTTCTTGGGCCCGTTGCCAGACGTGCAGGCCGTTTGCGACAACATCCACGATTTCGATTTGTCGCCCATCAGTTGCGGGAGCGTCCATGTTCATATCGCGAAGCGTGACGTGAGTTGTAACGCGCACGCCCCGCCCTGTGTGCGTGCGAGGTTGACTACCTGTGCGCAGGCCCAGCGGTGTCCGCGACGCTCGGTTGGCAGTAAATGACCTTGCTGGCAGGGAACAGCTTTTCAGCCAAGGCTGCTGGCCGCAGCTGCTGCGTGAGGCGGCAAGGGCATCGAAAACAGCGAGTCTCGAACTCCGCGCGACGTACACTGATGTACACTGGACGCCCGGCAAGCTTGCCAACACTGCCTGGCCAACGTCCAGGTCCATTGGGCAAAAGACGGGCATGGAACGCCGTGGGCGAAGAACCTGGCCATGGCTTGTAACTGCCTTGCCGCAAACCCGGTGGGGAGCTGGGCTTTGCCGGTTAAGCGACAAGCCCGGGCTTTCGTCAAGGTAGCGAAGCCTTTCTCAGTTGGGCACGCCACTGGCTTTCCACACCGCCAGACGTCGGATGAACCCAACTGCCTCAGCGTCAATGCGGCCACCGACCTCCAAACCCAACATGACCAGCTTGCACCGCTGCGCGGCGACCAGTTTAGGGTAGACGAAACAACAAAACACGCATGCGCTCGCCGTGGATGGAACTTCGTGCTGTCCATGCTGGCACCTCATTTGCTTTGTGCGCCGGACGGCCGAGGAGCTGTCACGTGGCCGCCCATCCTCGAACAGACCCGTTGTCCCAGATCTGGTTCCGCCAACTGCAGCCGTTCAGAGTTATTGCGCTGTGTTGTGAGTGGCAGGCCTTGGGTGCACAGGTCATAACCGTAGTAAACCATCATCCCGCGAATGTATGGGCCCAAGGGGATCACCTGAGTCCACATGCGCGGGACACTGTTTTTTTTTTTTTGCCATGTGGTGCCATGCAATGTTGCATGCTGTCGAGAGATGTGGCAAAACTGGTCCCGCGGTTGCGTGGACAAGAGGCCTCCCAACGTGTGATTGATCATTTGACGAGCCTCGGATTGGAAACTAGAGCAGACTTGGCAACATATTACATAGTGCCACCACTTGACGCAGAGCTGGCTCAGCTTTGGCGATGTGCTAGAGATGAGCCGTTTCTGGACGTTGCGGCTGCTGTGGAGGTGAGTCGAACTCAGATGCACAATCAAGCGAAGACTAAGACCAACACCGTGGCAACAAATCATGGACGCTTGACCTTCCGACGACCCTTTTGCAGAGGAGTATCCAGAGCAGCAGCGGCACAGGGGTTCCACGGTCCGTCCAAGAAGTGGACTTGCAGAAACGGCCAGTTGCGCAGACACTTGTGGACATTTCCCGGACGTGGGCCCCGGAAGCGGGTGTTGCGTCCGGGTTGTCAACTGAGTTAGCTGGCATGCTGCGCGTCGCAAGGAGATCTGCGTCACACGACTGCTGAGGTTTGATACGAGCTGGCTAAAGGCCGTCCTTCGCACATGGCAGGTGGTGGAAAGCTTGATGGCTCAGCTGCAGATCACCAAAGCCCATTGGCCGTTGCCAGCAGCGTGGGTTGAGGATTTTATGGACAAAATATTGGAAAACGCTGGGGGAGCTTCTGCGAAGCTCTTGTTTGCCAAACTGAAGTGGCTGTTGGTGCACTTGCAAGCTCCTCTTAAGATGGAAAATGTATGTGTGCCCACAGGGGGCAAGAACAGAGCAAACCGTGGTCGCTGAACCTTGCATGGTGCGGGCGATATGGGATGCATTCCGCGAGGACAAGAAGCACTCAAACTGGCGGAGGGTGCTTACAGCAATAGCCGTGTGTGCTTCCGTAAAACCGCTGCGCTTTGCGCATGCAGTTCGGTCGAGACCTGTGGCCCGCACAAAGTGGTGGGCCGCGTTCTGGGCTTACCAAGGTAAGGCACGTACAGATGGTGTCTTACGTGGAGGCTTCCGTTGGTTTGTGCCCTTGGTTACACCGACGCTGCGTCAAGCAGTGGACGTGCTGTGGGCTTCGTGGAACCAAATTTGGGCAGCAGAGTGTCGGACCCGCGCCGCCGCGAGTGGCCGAGCAGGGCCCGGACGTGTTGCGAGGCGACAAGCCATTAGCGGAACATCCCTTCGTCGCCTTGGGTACCCCCATCGGCACAGCTGAAACACGCAGGCGTGGGGTATGGACTGCGTGAGACCCTTTTACGACATTTGCCGCGCATGCCCGTCCTGCAGTGTGCCTGGCTCCTCCGGTGCTACTGCCCCGCGCCAATCATGCGCTCCGCACGATTTCCCCAACATTGAGTGGGGCGTATGCTGCAGCGCGTGGTGCGGCTATATGGGGCCCACTGCAAGCATGCTTGGGGGAACCAGCCGAGGACGCTTTTTGCCATGCGCGAAACATCGCCCTGCTTCCCGCCTGCCTGGGCGGGCTGGGCCTTGCAAAAGTTGTTCGCACTGCCCCCGCGGCTTTCTGGGCGGTTTGGGCTAATGCGCTCCCTGTAGACCACCCTGGCGTGCCCTCGCGCGATTGCCCCCACACGCAAAAATCGTCGAGAGTGTGGTGCCGGGTCGCCCGATAAGCCGTTGGGCCAGAAGGGCATGTGGTGCCCCAACGCGCGCACCCACCGCGCCTGGTGTCGCTTCAGATGACCACCGTCGGCTCGACCTTATGATTTTGTCCGTGCTCTTGATTAAGAAGGCCGCCCCTTCCCCCCCGTTTTATATGAGTAGAAAAGCTTCATTATACTTGAGTGTGGTACGCCGTGGTGGCGTGTATTTCCCGCGAAAACATGCATTTTTTAGGTGTTTTTAATTTAGTACCTGCAGTGTGTTACGCCCTGGGGGCCAATCTTTCTCGTTCTCCTACTCTTGCCTTGGGGAGCTTCTTGTGAAGCTCCCAAGAGCCTCTCTTGTATATATATATATATATATTTTTTTTTTTTAAACGCATGCTTAATATCATGAATGCAGGGATACTAACTTTCAAGAACATGTCATAAGATGCTTGAAAGGGTAACCCTCATAGTGACATTAGAAGTACATACAACTATGAAATACTTCAAATATACGCTATTTTACGAACCCCACAAACGTGGGCCCTCAGGGCGTAATTTTCTGATATTTTAAAATGCGACATTTTGCACCTCCCGCGATATTACATTGTTTCTGTCATGTCTACAAATTTCTTTAGAGAGTGTAACGCATGACGGGCCCCATATTTTACAGTCAAAAGCGTATTTTCAAGTGGTTTTATATGGTTAGCAGCAAGAAAGCAACGATTTCATCCATCATACAAAAATTCTAAGGTATACATGCTATGGCCATGCAATATCATGCCCTGATGCAGTTTATTGATAGTCACTCACATATGCTGTACAGGTGGTCCCACATCAATAATCACATACTNNACAGTAACCATGCCTGGCATGTTGATACATTCGTATCTCCGTTAGGGAATATGCATTATTCATTCTATGTTCTCAATCATCCTTGTATGAGGCCTAGGTCGATATCTATGTAAAAGACATAGTCTTATATTCCGACTTAGCACGTTGTGCTGTACGCAGCACATTTGGCAGATCGTAATATCACCCCCTACAACTAAATGGCCAGAGGGGGGGACCTAGGTGCCTGTGTCCATTATATTTGGCCTTTTTTAACTTCATCCCGTGTGACCCGGAAAATAATGGACACGAGACTTCTTGAGGGTCCAGTATGACAGCTCCTGGCAATCCTTGTCATTTTTTGAGTCTGCTCACGGGGTGGGATGGTTTTTAGGGTTCCGGAGGGCGTATATATATATATATATATATAAGACCAAACGGCGCACCGACTTAGCTGCAAGTCAAGGTATGTTAAAAAAAATAAGACCAAACGAACGCGCTGCAGCAG